ATTTTGCAGGATTCTCAAATAACATTCAATGATCAAAGGTTTAAAAGAGTTCTATAGTTTATGTTATTTTGAAAGCAAATTATTCAAGAATTGTAAAGTATTTCTGGGTAATCAAGCAAATTAATATTTTTGGTTGAAATAATGAACCAATTGATGTTAGACCATCACAATTGAAAACCTGCAAACACTGGACGGCCGTTTCGTCCTATTGTGGGACACCTCAGCAGTGAGCATCCACGATCCTGCGAGCGGGATTCGAACCCAGGGCCTTCGGTCTTACGCGCGAACGCTCAACCAACTGAACCGCTTAGTCGGCATCCAATGGTGATAGTTTCTAACATCAACCAATCCAAGAAATTGCGCAAGGAGTCCCACAATAGGACGAAACGGCCGTCCAGTGTTTCCAGGTTTTCAATTGTGATGGTCTAACATCAATTAGTTCATTTTCTCAATCAAAAACTTAATAATCTCCACAACCCCTATACTACGAACTAATATTATTGGTTGTATGGTATGAAGTGAGTAGCTTTGGAGTGGATTTCTGTACAACTTAGTGAATGATGTAACTTGGTAATTCATTTAGACTTGCAATAAAATAATATCAGAAGTGGGTAGTAATTTAATAATTGAGTTGATTAGTCATTTAAAGCTGGAACACTATAGAAAACATGGAAGGAACGGATGGCCGTTTCGTCTTCGTATGGAACTCCTCAGTAGTGCGCATCCACGATCTTGCTCGCGGGATTTGAATCCAGAACTTTTGGGTCCTGCTTTAATTGACTCATGAACTCAACTATTAAATAAAATAAAATAAACATCTCATTTTGTTACTATTCACGTCTGTATTGGGGATGTTACATCCCTGGAACTCACTTGGTAAATACCTCATTTTTGTAATTTTATTCTAAAAATTTGAATCTCTTGTTTTCGTGCCAAAAGTGGTCATTTTGTACCTTTATGTCGTATTTCCCACTTAGGATAATCTTAAACGCTTTCGATTCATTGTATCTTTTATTATGCCCTTTTGTAACGCTTCCCAAGGACAATTTATTGCTGTATATATACGTTTGATTTGTGCATGTTGTTATTTCTCATGCTTCTGGCTACTTGAGGAATATATTTACCCGTTTCGAACTTGGACTTCTCTCTCTAGTCAGCATGTCTGAGACGCATCATAATAGCTGGCTTATTGGTCTTCGGTCACACAGTCTTTGTTCCGTTCGCAGACTAGGTGAATTCGGAATAGCTTCAAACATAACAGTTTGACATCGAGAACCTCTTTTATATATAAAAATGATATGTGTTTGGAAATAACGATAAAATATCCAGGTTTATATCACTTTTAAAATAGTCCTCTTTTTTTTCTTTACTAGTTATTCAGATAATTTAAGGTTTTAATCAGTATGGAGATTTGTGAAGATTGTAGGATGAAACAATCATTTAGTACTTCCAGGTTTTCTATGATGGTTTAACTTAGATTGACCCTTCATTTCAACCGTGAAAATTACTTACGTTTAACGAAGAGTTACTAAACGTCATAGATGATGAGATAGTTGTTTACTTGACGTTTAAGATATTTATACAGTGCATATCAATGTCGATATATTAGCCTATATCAAAAAACTGTAATGATCTCATGATGCTACAATATGATTAAACTTGAATATGTAGACTACTGAACTTTGGCTTATTAGTTTAAACTCCTCCAACAGTCAATATCACAGATTAACTGAAGTTGAAAAAATCATTACAAACTAGCGAACCCTGTACAATTTTATCTTCCTATTATGGAACTCTTCGGGGGGCAGTTGCGTGACAATACTATGGATTGATATTTATGTTCATAATCAAATAATCTTGCTCATTTAAGTATTTGATTTGAACCTTCATTCAATAGTCAATAGGGAGTTATTCCAAAGATAGAGAATTGATCAACAAGACTTCTCAACATAAGTTAGGTAAAATCCAGCACACTAAAATTTGATGTATCTCCTATACAGTTGTATTTTGATTGAATGCTGTATTAAGAACTGACTGAGATGGTAATGTTGTTAATAGAGATTTCATTAAAAATGTTTTTAGAAGAAGTCAGTGATACACTCATTAATAGCCAAGTTTTGAATGAAGTTGTACATATTTTTATTTTTATTATTATCATTGTGGAATGTTTGTAACTGTGTGTAGCATATCAATTAACAAGTGTCAAATCCCATTTCAAAAGAAGACCTTTGGGATTCGTTCTTAATTTACGTTACTGAATGTCTAAACTAAGGCGGATTCAGAGTAAGGTTTAAAAAGTATACAGAGAGTTAATTGAAGTTTCTTTATTTTGCACGGCTACCTGTATTTACATCTCTAACTTATGCTCCGATCCTGGATAACTCTAAACCTCATTCAGAAACGTACAATAGTCGATCACTGTCAAGTGTTAGAGTATCTGATCGTCAGTTGTAATTGGGTTGTTATAAGTGTCTCAATGAACAAACATAGATCGATGTATTTGTCATTAAGCTATACTTTATTTTTAAGGACTAGTTATACTATCTAAGCCGTCAACCAGAAATCAATAAATTAAGATCTAAGCCTACAACTTAGTTATCCAGAGATATATTTATTGTGATGTAACTGTACAGTGAAAATAGAACATTTTCCCATACAATGATAAATTCAATGAAAAGAAAACACGTCTCCACGTCATCTCTTATTACAAGGTTAAATGACCTAATTTCAAACCTTTTGTGAAGCTCTAATTTTACACTGATACATTTTCATTTTCATATGAGTATGAATAGTTCCTTGTATTACTGAGTTATGTAAAGTCTGAAAAATATGGATTTAGTTACCGTAATTCAGATAAATATCCTATTTCAATTTTTTACTCTGATTAAGTAGCATATGTGTCAGGAGGGATGTTGTGGAGATTGTAGTAATTTTAGTAGTTGAGATTATGAGTCAATTGAAGCTAGACAACAATGGAAAACTTGGAAACATTGGATGGACGTTTCGTCCCACTGAAGGACTCCTCAACAGTGCGCACCCACGACACCGCCTTACGGGGTCATTTGATATAAAGGAAAGCCTCAAAATTCCATGTGAAATTTAATTAAAGGACGATTCAGAACTCATTAGTGACTTGTATTGATATGTATATCCTAAATTTCCAATAGGGACCCATAAATTCTATGGTATATGAAGTCTAAACTAATAATGATATATCAAATTATCACTGTATTTTAACTGACATTTGGGAGCCCTTAAATGCCCTGGTACGGCCGAGAGTGGAGAGAGTCAGCTCTCCCACTTCAAATGCTCTCACATGGCCACGCGTATATAGCCTCGTCCAGGGAAGTCCTACTCACTGCCTTCTCGTGGTGTGGGTGTTGTTTACGAAATTGAGAAAAAAAAGCTAATGTTCAGTGCTTTAACCGGGTTGATAGACATGGAGAGTTCACCTAAGGAAGTTAGAAAACCCTGATTCCAAACCAATGGTGCACATGGGCTCCAGTATCCTGAAGGAACAAATGGAGTATGAACCAATCGTTGGTCACAGGATACCATGGGAATGCATCTCTTTACGTTGCTCCACTGCCATGTGGGTCAGACCTTCAGGTCGAAGGCTCCGAGTGTGTCGTTCTAAGAAAACAACCTGTTTCGGTTTGGGCACTTGTGCAGTATCACAGCCCTCACACATATCAAACGAGATCTGTGTGGTGCATATATATTTGGTGCCTCATTGTACCAATATCAATGTGTTAAAATAAATAAACAAATAATTCATAGAATAATTCATGCTCATATCATCAATTGATTTATTTTGAATATAACCAAAACAATAATCAAAGCAGAATAATATGAATTCATTTTATTTTATGACTTTTCATCAACTGCCTACAACCATATTCGTATTGAAGTGTAAAATTCAGTTATGACATAGTATGGAGTAATCGACACTGATGACGGAGCAAATTCGAATAGCAAAGGTTCTCAATAATTACTATATATATATTCGGAGAAGCAATTTAAAAGATTTGAAGGAGATGAAGCAGTACATGGTAACATGATGAATTGTATGATAATTAGAAAAGATTTGAAGAGCTTATATAAGTTTAAAAATTGGGTGAGAAAAACTATTAGAATAGGGAATTTGTAGAGATTATATGATTTTCATAGTGTAAATTATGAGCCAATCTTAGCTAGATCCCTACTGAAAACCTAGAAGCAATGGGCTGACGTTTCTTCATAGTGTAAGACTCTTCAACAGTCTTGTGCATGAACACTTAACGTTCATATACAACGGTGTTAATGACTAACTCCAATCAATTCACTTTATTACACAGTTTTGATCTATTATTTACAGTAGATAAATGTCTCATACCCGACATATATAGAACTCCACTTGTCACTTACTTACTTACTTACTTATGCCTGTTATTCCTCGTGAAGGAGCATAGGCCGCTCACCAGCATTCTCCATCAAACCCTGTCCTGGGCAATCCTTTCTAGCTCCTTTCAGTTCCTATTCATCCTTTTCATATCTGTTTCTATTTCCCGACATAATGTGTTCTTTGGCCTTCCTCTTTTCCGTTTCCCTTTACCATCCCAAGTTAAGGCTTGCATCGTGATGCAGTTTGGTGATTTCTGTAATGCATGTCCTATCCATTTCCATCGTCCTTCCCTAATTTCCTATTCAGCTGGAAGCTGGTTTGTTCTCTCCCACAGTAGGCTGTTACTGATTGTATCCGGCTAATGGATGTTGAGTATCTTGGGTAGACAACCGTTTATGAATACTTGTACTTTCTTGATGGTTGTTGTAGTTCTCCAAGTTTCAGCTCCGTACAGTAGAACTGACTGTCTTGACATTCGTATTGAATATTCTAACTTTGATATTGGTTGACAGACAGTTTTTTTTGAATTCCATATGTTGTTCAATTGTAGGAATGCTGCCCCCCACTTGTCACTACTCTGTTTATAATTTCTTTTACTGTTTCATTTTTACTCTAGGCGAACAAGAACGTGTACAAAAGAAAACATTTACCAATTGGTTAAATACATATTTGAGTAATGTAAGTTTAATAAATAATGATCACATCTATTTTATTCATAATTATTCATAACTATCATATATACTACTTATATAAAACTTATATAAGCGTTATTGTATATGTTATGAAATAATATCCTATATATCTTATTGTAAAGAATGACACTGATGATTTATATTAGTGACAGTCCAATTTATTATGATTGGTTTGTAGTACTATTTTAATACCATAAGTTATACATCAACTCATCTATGAACACCAAGTATACATTTTACACTTTTGTTGTATATAATATCAAATCATTATTGTATAATTGACATTCAGTGTTCCACTAGTTTGTTATGATTGTGGTATTAAACGTTATGGATAGTAGTAATGATTATTGGATAATCCCAATAATGATTTAGTTTACTAGATTAAAACTATGGTATTTCGTTCTATTATCATTCCCTATTTCTTATTATACAACATTAAAGATGTTCAAGTTTCTAAGTATAATAATGTAATATGTTCTGAAAATAATAATTACAGAATTCAAGCCAGTTTACAGGCATGATCAATTTGATATAAATAGTAACATTAGATATACAGAACAAACATGTAATAGAAGAAAGTTTTAAGTATACTAGTTCAGTAATTGTTTAGGTAGTACATGTATTACAGAGATCCAATGCATCAGCCGGGAACTTTTAGGTTTTCTTAAATGAACAGCCTGTTGATTTATGAACGGTATAATTAAGGTCATTTCATGTGGCAGATCGAATTAATGATAATTATCTACAACTAGAGAAAGTAAAATGAAAACAGAGAGCACGGAACAACAAAACAATAATTACCAAAATATGTCAATCAAGTCTACCATAATGCGTGTGTCATGTGACCCGATGATATACTGTTGATGTTATTCAGATTAGTTAAAATTGCTAGGGACGGTGTTAACATGAAGTGACAGCAAGTAGATGGTTTTACTTAGGGAATTCAGTAATAAAGATGGCTAAACATTTAAAGTTCCTATAATATCACTTGTAGAATGAGATAAACGTACAGGTGCTAGAACATTTAATGTATTTTCAGAGGAGCAGTATGCATCGATGCAGCGAACAAATAATGGGAGTGATTTTATCCTACGGATTGATTCTGGTAGACTATTCCAGAGTCTAGAAAATTTACAGATTAAGTAATTCATATAGAGTGATGATTTAGAATGAGTTTGTTTTACTAATGACAAGGAGTTACGGATGTCATAATGTGCAGTTTCTGCATACTGAATCACTTGATTGGATGTAAATGATAGTTTATGAAGTATTTTGAAGAAAATGATAAGATTTAATTTTGAGTCTCCTCTTCCATAAAGGGTCAAGTCCAAGTTTATTACATATAGAATTATAAGTTAAGGTACAATCAGTTCCAAGAATACAAAGTGTAAGTCGTCTCTGTATTGATTCAAGCCTTAATTTATCCTTTATTCTCGCACTACTAAGAATAAACGTGTAGTATTCTAGGAGTGATCGAACACAAACTTTGTACATTAAAATATGTGATTCATTGTTATCACGGTTTCGAGTTATCCATTCAATTATTGATTATTATAATTTCACTTTAGGCGAATCCACCATTGAAAGTTCAAGATTTATTTGAAGATATCAAGAATGGAATAGTGTTGATAAGAATTTTAGAAGTTTTATCAGGAGAGAAACTAGTAAGCTTTTTTTATATTTGATAAAGTAATATATGATTTCTTACTTTGGTTATTTTTAAATAGATTATCACTAGTAATTAACTATGGATATGAGTATAACATCATCTATGAGATGGTGGAGAAGATTTGTAGCTTAGGTGGATGATTTTGATGGAGAACAAAACTCCACTAACATCATCTATAAATATATTGTAGTAGAACATTCAGGATCATGTCAGGGATCAAGTATAAGCTAAATGCTAATGAAGAACTTGAATTGTTAAGTTGATGTTGAAATACAATGGTAATAGTAGATTCTTTATATCTTCGGTACTGTTTGTTCTATTCACTTCTTATTAATGTCAGAAGACAAAGTTTGCCCTATATCTGAATTCATTACACCCTATACACAACTATTAGGGATTTTCAAATTAAGAAAGGGAAATGATTAAATGCATTGTACTATTTGGTTTCAAATAAAGTAAATCATCCACTAGGATTAGTTAAATCACACAAAACTATAACTCAAAAAATCTAGTAGAATAGCTTTAATATCACTAGTCAAGAGATTGAATTTATTTGAAATCATGAAACAGTCTGAGTTAGAAAGCATTAGATGGCCTTTTTGTCCCAGTGCCCATCCATGATCCTACATACAGGACTCAAACACAGTTTCTTAAGTCTCGGACGAATACTTGACCTCTAGATCAACTGTGCTAATATATAACATCAAACAATCCTCGACATTGACCGACCACCCACCATTCTTTTCAGTAAATAACTGTTTCAATCCAACCAAGTTATTTCTAATAAGTTTAATTAACGTCATTTAAACCATAATATTCACAATTAAAGTTAAATACCAGGTAGCAAATAATGCATCGAACACTTCAGAAGTTTTGTATGCTGGAGACTAATACTGTTTTACGCAGATTCATTTCAACACAAAGAATGATTGAGAAATCAATAGTTTTTAATAACTTCGTCAACAGGCTCTAAATTTATCCGTTCGTAATTCTTCTGTTACAATAACGTAAATAAGACTTATATTTTGTGTTAATGATAGTTAATGTTTATATAGGTTATGGTTTAAATACGGTAATTGAACCACAGGACTGAGCTGTACTGTTCAATTTGTAAAGAGCTTAAATAGTATCTTGTTCTCTTGAAAATTAATGTAAAACTACCCTCCTGTAAGGTATATTTATAATGATCATTCATTTGAATGAAAATAGCCTGTTATTAATCAAAAACTCACTTTAAATGACATTTATCAGATTAAGATTTCTTAAAATTATTAATCTTTTTAGGAAAGTTACTCTGTGAGATGGTGGAGAAGATTTGTAGCTCAGGTGGATGATTTTGATAGAGTTTAGTTCTCTGAGCTGGATGGTTTGATCGTGGTCAAAAAGAAACAATCAACGTCTAGGTGTACAGAACAAGCTGTGAAACGCACATGGAGAAATTCAAACACTTCACTTCTATCTGAAGTTTGTGCAGATGATGTCGTTCAGAAGAACGATGAAAGCTCTACAACAAAACCATCCAGCTCAGAGAACAAAACTCAATCAAAGTTGCTCTGTTTTAGTTTCCTATATAAAACACAAATGTTTCGAACAATTAACCTATGTTCAAGTAAACCGTTGTGTATACTTAATACAAAATTACAATATTTTATCTGTTTGAGGTAGATAACTATCTCTATCTGGCATGGATTAACTCCATTAGTTACGGCTTTACACCAGAACTCCGAGAATTCTCTCATAAACCTAATCACTAATGAGCACATGATAATTATCAGTATGGAGTTGTGAAGATTGTTAAGTTTTTAATTGTAATCTCCACAATCCCATACTCATCTATTTGCTTTGCTAAATCTTACACATAACTGTACTTAACTTGATCGAATAAACTTTGATTGTTTAATTTAACCTGTCACATTATAAATGAATAGATGATATGAATCAATGAAAAACGTTTATGTGATCAACATTTGTACTTTCTATAAATCAGGTTTGACAAATTCCTTTGTCACATAAAGGAAATGAATCTTCTTCTTCTTCTTCTTCTTATTATTATTATTATTATTATTATTATTATTATTATTGTTATTATTATTATTAGTCATTTGATTAACAGTCAGTTGGACATTGTGATCATTATGAATGAATGTTCTTTCAATAACAAAAGAAAACGGTAATATAATCAGATATTCATTACAATATAAAGACACATATGATATAAGTTTATAGTCATAAATTATAAGAAGATGAATTAAGTCATCAATAAAACGTTTAATTTAAAAGAAAAAAAAACATAATAATGATAGATTTCTGTGAGATATGGAATGATATCACAAGGGGTTCTGTGGATATTATAGTAATTTTAATAGTTGTGATCCACGATTGTGGATGCGCACTGATGAGGAATCTCACAGTAGGATGATATGGTCGTCTAGTGCTTTCAGGTATTCCATGGTGGTCTAGCTTGAATTGACTCATAATCTCAACTATTGCCCCCAAATACTCTAGTACGGCCGAGAGTGGGGAGAGTCCGCTCTCCCTCTCCAAATGCTCTCACATGGCCACGCATATATAGTCTCTGCCAGGGAAGCCCTACTCACTGACTTCTCGTGGCGGGGGTGTTGTTTACGGAATTGAGAGGGCGAAAAGCAAATGTCCGGCGCCTTAACCGGGTTGGTGTACATGGAGAGTCCATCTTCGACCTTCAGATCGAAGGCTCCGGGTGTGGCTCCCTGGGAAAACCACCTGCTTTGGTATCACAGCCCTCACACATATCAAATGAGATCTGTGTGGCGCATATGTATTCGGTGCCTCTTTGTACCAATATCTATGTGTTAAAATAAATAAATAAATAATCTCAACTATTAAGATATGGAATGATTTTACTAAAAGTCCCATACATACAGAGATGAATGTATATAGTTAATCATCATCATTCTCTTCTTATTTAATTAAATATTTGACTAATGTGATTCAGTATAAACAAAATGTATTTCAAGAGAAACTGGGACAACATCTATTAAATTGAAAAAGATATGAAGTGTTATATGTCGATGTGAATAACGAATGATAACTGTTGGAATCTATTTCTGGACTAATACTATATGTGTATTTTTTATCTTATAATTGTTAAGCAGGTAACCTATGCATATTCATGTTCCTCTTATTTTAAGCTTTATTTTGGACCTATAGACTATTATTATACGATTTACGGTTCTTGAGTTCTGCCCAATCTATTAATTACGGTCTACCACATTCACAGCCACTTTTGGTCTGATCTTGTACAAATGCTGTTTTCTATTTGTGGTGTGAAGTGGTCTGTTTGATTTGTATATAAACCCAGTATGTTTGAAATATATGATTCATATCGCAGAGGATGTACATAACAGGCAGGGCTAGGCGGGAAGCAAAACCAGTGAGGACTCTAGACTGCTCATACGGGTTTTATGCGTCATTGGTCCAGTCGATCATTCACTGTTCTCTAATTGGAGGTATCATAACGTCGTGCATAAGTAGGGCATGAGGCCACAAGTTATAACATGTAGTTTATATACAAAAATGTTACATTTGAAACTCTTATCACCTCCGTCTGCATTCACATTTTAGGTTATTATAAAAACTTCCAAACTAAGACAAGTTTAAAGGTATATAGCATCGAACATTGAGTGAATTATTAAATACATCGAACAGTTTCAACTTCATTAAGATCATGAATTTATCTAAGTTAGATCACCATTGAAAACGTGAAAACACAATGATTCTAGATTTTCCATAGTGATCCAACTTATATCGGTTCAAGATTTCAATGAAATTCAATAATTTCCACAACCCCATATTGTGTAGGGTTTGAATCTTGTTAGTTCTTATCCATTATCAAACCTAAAAGCGAAGGTCACTTTATTTTTTGTGGCCGCAGGCTAACACAAACGTCATGAAATTCAAAGCTCCGAGTTACGGATACTTAATGTTATGGAGTATGAAAGTAAAATAAAACAAATGTAACCTTTATTTAATATTAGTACATGAAGAAAACTATCTTCCAATGTATTATACATTACAGAATAAAAATAACCAGGAAAAACTAGCTCTTTAGTGTAATTTGAACCAGATGTATTTTCTATATGATGACAAAGGTTAATTACATTTCACTTCCCATTCTTAGACACTCTAATGTAGAAATGTTTTATTGAGATGTACAATGTCTATTCTAATCCGAATCGTTTAAAACCTTTTTAATGATTTACATTGAAGAAAGAAATACATCACTATTTATTGTCAAAAATTTGGTTCAATGTTATATTGATTAGTAGGGAACTCCTTAGCAATGCGCAATCACGATTCCACATGTAGGACTCGAATCCAGGACTGAAATGTTCCATATTAAGGACGAAACGTCCGTTCAGTGCTTCTAGGTTTCAATGGTGGTGGTCTGGCTTACATCAACTCATGAGTTCAACTATTAAAATCATTACAATCTTCACAAACACCCATTCTTATAATTATATCGGTTAGTCAAATGGTAAGACTGGATTTTATTAACTGACTAGACATGTAGTCCATGAAAAATCTATCAACAACTATTAAGAACAATCATTATTCTGTTCAGAAATAACTGTAAATGAAATGGATCGTCTATAACTTTCTGGTTGTTTATTAGTAATGGTAAGACTGGTATAGTATTAATATACAGTGATTATATAAATCTCAATTAGCAACGTATGACATGCAAACATCCACCTATTTTATTTTTTTGTTCCATATTGAACTTCTCCTTATTTGTGTTTTCAACTTTCTTCCTCCTTACAAAGCGTGCAGAAAGTCGGGTTCAAATGAATCGGATACATTGTCTATCAAACATTAAAACTGCATTGGAATTTTTACATTCAAGGAATGTAAGTGGAAATTCATTACAATATAGTGAACATTCAGGTTGTATCTACTTTTTTGTAAAGATTTTTAAAAAGAGTTGTTCATTTAACAGACGATACCATGCTAATCATCATTATATTCAGTCATTCAGGTACAACGTAGGATCAGGCACATATATGTATCGGTTCATATGTGTATACATATCTTATACATACCTTATTAGCACAACAAGATGAGCACCAAATTCATAGAAGTAGTCACTTCAATGGTAGAAATGTATCAAAGACAGATTGTGTATAAGAATAAAGTACAGGAAGAAAAAAGCGATTATAGAAAGAAGGATACAAAGCCATTTTAATCTCACAGTTTAACGGCAGACAAAGAGTGTATATACTTACTCCATTGTGATCGATCCTGAGTCACCTTACCAAGAGTCTCCAACGATTAGTTACGATAGTCACGTGGACCCCAATCACGTATTCTGCATTTACCAACATAGCTGTTTGTACGTCATGGTAAACAGTGTTTAGGCATACTTAACACTTGGCCCAACCAACTCAGTCGATGAAAATTCACAACTTCATCAACTGATTTGTCATCATTCCTTAATACCCTGCGTCTATCCTCACTATTACTCACAATAAAAATGGTTTATATAAACTAAAAACATTTTTACAAGTACTAATTAAAAATCAGATGACACTGTCCATCTATCCTCTTATTATGCATTAGTTATGTTTCTAATGGTGGGGTCATGAAATTACGCTTAGTCAATAAAACTAATTTGAGTGAGAAGATATGACAGTTATAACAGATATTGCATTGGTAATGGAGGTATGGTGGTGCTTGCAATTCATATATATATATATATATATATATATATATATATATATATATATACATATATATATATATATATATATATATATATATATATATATATATATATATGTCTGAATCAACTCAGTAAAGAACATTTAGGTGGGACTACTTTGGTGAGGCTCTTAGCCTACTTACACTATAAAGAAATCTTACTTACTATGCGAGCCTGTGATATGGTGTGATCTGTCAGGTTTCACTCAGTATACAACGTATTCTTGTGAGAGTTAAAGTGATAAAAAATCAGCTGAATAACAACTATTATGGAGTCCCTCCGGGTGCTGCTGCCGGCCCCAGGCCCGGATAAAGGAGGAGGGTTGGGCATGGGGTTAGCGTCCCCATCCCGTAGAAAACTAACTCGCTAAAAAAACGCTAACCCATTGATGAACAAGGTGGATCTGATGCAGATGTGAAGGCGCGGATCGGCAAAGCAAGAGCAGCATATTTACAACTGAAGAACATCTGGAACTCAAAGCAACTGTCAACCAACACCAAGATCAGGATTTTCAATACAAATGTCAAGACAGTTCTCCTGTATTGGGCGGAAACCTGGAGAACTACGAAAACCATCATCCAGAAGATACAGGTGTTTATTAACAGTTGTCTAAGCGAAATACTTCAGATCCGTTGGCCGGACACTATTAGCAACAACGTACTGTGGGAGAGAACAAACCAGATCCCAGCGGAGGAAGAAATCAGGAAGAAGCGTTGGAAGTGGATAGGACACACATTGAGGAAAGCACCCAACTGTGTCACAAGACAAGCCCTCACATGGAATCCCCAAGGCCAAAGGAAAATAGGAAGACCAAAGAACACATTACGCCGAGAAATGGAAATAGACATGAAAAAGATGAACAAGAGTTGGATGGAATTAGAAAAGGAGGCCCAGGACAGAGTGGGTTGGAGAATGCTGGTCGGCGGCCTATGCTCCATTAAGAGTAATAGGCGTAAGTAAGTAAGTAATGGAATGTGCTAACTATCAGAGCTAGAGACACATTTGTATTTGTAACCAAATTCTTTATCACAATCGTATTATTGGTTCACTAAATATAAACCATTTACAGTACAATGATTAAATGTTACTGTTCATCTAGAGTATTAAGAACAGCTATCCATATAATCCTATCCGGAAATACCTAACAGTTGAAAAGTATAAAACCAATTATAAAAACTACTGAACAGATAATTGTAACAGACTGAAGGTAAACTAATTAATTACTTAATAAGAATGACTATCATGATGTTTAGATCTTATCGATCAACCTGAAATATAATCAGTAATTTGAGTAAGTCAACAATCACAGTGTAGTAATTTATTCGAAATCACAGTGTAGGTTATCAAAGACTACCTAGTTGGTATCAATCAGAATGAAGTATATACATTGATTTTATTCCTGTAATCTTTCTTTTGTGACTGTATAATGAACTATTTCTTTTTGAATTTTCTTTTAATAACATATATATCATAAATAGGTTAAATTAGTCAATGTCAATCCAACTGATATTGCTGATGGGAAACCAGCTATTGTTCTTGGTCTCATATGGGTTATTATACTATATTTCCAAGTAAGTTAACAAATTTACAATCAGTTAATTTATGAACTTCGTCATTTTATTTTACTCCTTTTCTTTTTTTACTCCAAATTTACAAAAGCAAAAAAAGACTAGTAATTCTCCATCATTGATTTAGTCAGGTTTCATACACATATGTTATCCACTGATTGAAATCATGAGTCAATTGAAGCTAGACAACCATGGAAAATCTGGAAGCACTAAACGGCCGTTTCATCCTAGTATGAGGATAGTATGGGACTCCTCAGCACCGCTCATCCACGACCCCGTTCCCCCCCGAGAATCGAGCCCAAAACCCATCGGTCACGCACCAAGCACTTAACCAACTAGACCACTGAGCCGGCATTCAATGGTGTTAATGTCTAACTTCAACCAATCCACGAAGTTGCGCCACCGTATACCATTGTCTTCAGTGAGCTGATATCTCACAACAGACCTGGTTGAACTCCATTGGTAACGACTTCTCACTAGAACTCCAGGAGTATCTCTTGAAGTCAGTCACTAGTGAGCAGATGATTATTATCAGAAGGGGTTTTGTGGGGATGTTAGAAATTTCACCACTGGATTCAGACTCAGTGGTCTTGTTGGTTAAGCGCTTGGTGTGAGACCGATAGGTCCTGGGCTCGAATCTCGGGGGGTGCGGGGTCGTGGGTGCGCGCTGCTGAGGAGTCCCACAATAGGACGAAACGGCCGTCCAGTGCTTCCAGATTTTCAATGGTGGTCTAGCTTCAACTGACTCATGATTTCAATCAGTGAAATTTCTAAAATCTCCACAAAACCCCTTCAGATATGTTTTCACTTGACATTCATATCATGACCAGGTAGAATAAATTTTTGTTAAGCTGTAATTATGTTTTCGTTGAAGTAATCAATATTAAGCTGAATACACTAGGCAACTAGGCAGAATGAATATTTTATTAAATTTAACAAGCATTCACTGAAATCTGAGGAACATTTAATGACCCGGGATCTGACTCCAATGATTGTTGTCAAACTGTACATTCTGGCTATCCTCGTTTATAATTATCTACTTAGATCTCATTAGTGAATAACGGAATTAAATAAGTCAAATACAAGAATAAAGTTTTGAATCTATACATTTTGTACACTCGTTGTTCGGAAAAAAACAATCAGGGAATCGCAGCGAATGAAGCGAAGAAAGCGAAGAAAAGAGAGCGAAGCGAAATAATGCGCAGTAGAGAAAACGTGTGAACCAACTCCATTTAATCAAGCGTTAATCAATATATATAGTTACACAAAAATAAGCTACAGACATGTGACGAATAGGATAAGCAATGTACACACATACGCTCATATAAAAACAGTCAATGTTGATAAGTGAATAATTAGCAAGATTAAAACATGACTCAAGAAGAATGGATTAATTGGCCTATCCACAAGCTAGAATAAGTTATGTGGGGTTAACATGGTAACTGACACTACAAACATATGTCGAACTAAATATCAATGATTAGAGTATTTGAATGTGTATTTGGTTTATTAAGTAATTTATTCAGTTTAAAAATCTTTGGGTGTAACAGCTAGTTCCGTACAAACATTTACAAAATGCCTTGTTAGTCTTCTGATTCTCTTTTTTTTCAAGTATCTGAGATCGTATTGTGTAAAGAATATAATTTATGGACAAACCAATCACGTATAAGATAACAGGTTTCGGATTTTGGCGCGGAATTCACTCATCCATTTGGTTAAATAAAGTTTTAGCATTATAGCTGGCGTCAGTTTGTGATGAAAACCCTAAATCTAATCTCTAACCTTAAGTTCTAATTCCTCAAACAGTTTCATAACCCTCATTGGGTCCTACTTATTAGGTGAACACTCTCAATACCACTTAATCATCACCCGAAGGTCGTTCATAGTCCACAGTCTGACTGAACATTCAATTATTCATTTAGTGATCGTCTAGCTTTTGCTTTTCTTAAATCATCAAAATCATCAATAAGTTGGTCTTTAAATCACATTTCTTAAGTATCGTATAAAGTTTTAATAACTTAAGGAAACTAAAATTAATAGTTGTCCAATTAGTCACTGTAAAAGATACATTCAAGTTGAAATAAGTTAGATATGTAATCTAAATTCGGATTCATAATATTTAGCGAACAGAGATTCCTGAGAGTTACTGTCACCAAATAAGTGTTGTAGCTATCTTATTTGAATGGTTTTTTAAAACAAAATTTTTTGATTGAGATCATGAACCGACTGATGTTAGACCACCATTGAAAACCTGGAAGCACTGGACGGCCATTTCGTCTGATTGTGTGACTCCTCAGTAGTGCGCATCCACAATCCCGCCTCCGTGGGATTCGAACCCAGGGTCTTCAGTCTCGGAGTTGTGGTGAGAAGCCGTGACCAGTGGAGTTAATCCGTGTCGGGTAGAAACAGGTGTCTACCTCAGTAAAATGGAAGATGGTGGCGCAATTTTGTGGATTGGTTGAGGTTAGACATTAACATCATTGGATGCCGACTCAGTGGTCCAGTAGGTTAAGCGTTCGCTCGTATATATATTTAAGACATAATGTATTTGAATCATAACCAGTTAAATGCTTTTTGCCTGCTATAACTGTGCGACAACAAAATATATCAAATTGATATCATCAACCTATCAATATTAGACCACCATTCAAAACCTGGAAACACTGGACGGTCGTTTCAATCTAGTATGGGACTTCTCAACAGAGTGCATCCACGATCCCACACACGAAACTCAAACACATGATTTTCAGTCTCATACGCAAACTCTCAACCTCACGACCATGTACGGGACTTGAAGGCTTTGGTTCGAGTCCTGTATGTGGGATCGTGGGTGTGCACTTCTGAGGAGTCCAACACTAAGACTAAATGACCGTCGTGTTCTTCCAAGTTTTAAATGGTGGACTATCATTTATCGGTTTATGATCTCAATTAAAACTCAACGATCTGTACAACTCTATACTAATGAAAAATATATCTAATTAAAATTTATTGTCAATTTTTACATGCTTTACTTATATTAAGATTGAGGAACAAGAAGAGTTACTATTGAAAATTTTGGATCTTCCACCTGGTTCACTTAAAGCAAGAGGTTCAGCTAAACGTGCTCTACAAACCTGGGTTCAAGAAATTTTCGCTGGGTAGGTTTTAATGAAACGTTTAAGATTTTTATTAAGAATGATTTTCTTTCAAAATTATAAAACTTTCATATTGAATTTTCAGATTTGATGCAAAACGATAGACAATTAGATGAAGTCTGATACAGGGAAGAAATCAAGTGCTTACAGAAAACCTAAAAAATAAATCAAACCATTTCTGAATACATTAATTTTTTGAGTTTGATTCACAATAATCAGTTGTACACTATCAGACTGATCTGCGAGGGCACTTAGAACGTTAAGGGAACTGATGCTTCTTGAGAGATTTGAAAGTGTTTCGGATTCTGAAATATTACAATTGAGCCATTCAAGCGGCGACTAACCCCGAATAAGATTGAATTATATATATATATATATATATATATATATATATATATATATATATATATATATATATATATATATATATATATATATATATATATATACTGATTTGAACAGTTCGTGTACATAGCAATCATGGCAATTAAAACAGACTGCCTTCTTGTGATTTTGATGATTATCTACCAAATCATAACTGTGTTATCTGTATGCAATAACATACAAAATTTTGTTGTTATAGAATACATTGTCTTAAATGATATGCAAATCCTAATAACAGATTTCTGTTTCTCGATGATATTTAATTCTAGTTTTGAAAAATCGGTATATTTTTGTGAGACCAGCTGGTATGTTTATCAAAGAGCCTGTGTTTTATTACTGATAATCTCATTTGCTTACTTACTTTACTTACGCCTGTTACTCCTTGAGAAGAAGCATAAGCAGCTCACCAGCATTCTCCATCCAACGCTATCCTGGGCAATCCTTTTCAGCTCCTTCCGGTTGTTGTTCATCTTTTTCGTATCTGCTATTTCCCGACCTAATGTGTTCTTTGACCTTCCTCTTTTACGCTTCCCTTCAGGATTTCAAGTTAGCGCTCGCCTCGTGATGCAGTTTGATGATTTACGTAATGTATGTCTTATCTATTTCCACCGTCTTTTCCTAATTTCCTATTCAACTGGAAGCTGGTTTGTTCTCTCCCACAGAAGGCTGTTACTGATTGTATCCGGCTAATGGATGTTGAGTATCTTGCATAGACAACTATTTGTAAATACTTGCACCTTCTTAATGGTGGTTGTGATAGTTCTGGAAGTTTCAGCTCTGTACAGTAGAACTGACTGTGTTGATGTTCTTATTGAAGATTGTGACTTTGATATTGGTTGACAGACAGTTGTTTTGAGTTCCATATGTTGTTCAATTGTAGTAGCGCAGCCCTTGATTTGCCAATCCTCTCCTTTACATTTGCATCCGTTCCTCCTTGTTCGTCTATAATGCTTCATCATCTTTCAGAGTTTCTTCATCAAGTGTGACTGGATTAATGTTCTGCATGTTGTACTTGAGGATCTTGGTTTTCCCCTGGTGTGTGTTGAGGCCTACTGATGCAGAGACTGCTGATACACTGACTAACTTTAACTGCATTTGTTCGTGTGTATGCTATAGGAGGGCTAGGTCATCTCCGAATTCAAAATCGTCTAATTGGTTCTGAGTTATCATTGTATTCCGTGTTTTCCCTCAGATGTTGAGGTCTTCATAATCCAGTCGATCACCAGAAGAAAGAGGAAGGGGGACAGTAGACAGCCTTATCTGACTCCGGTGATAATCTTATATGAACTATTAATTATTGTAACTCATTTGTCAAGTAAACGTTTAATGAAATTACATCGAGACTTAGGCTAAAGTATGTGAAATGGCGTTTGAATGTCAACTGATGCATACTTGAAAGTAATATATATATTGGGTGGAAATTGTAAATCCTCTTGAAAGATTGTAAATTTTACTTCTCTTAATATTTACCACTTTTTTAGTTCTTTCAGAAGAAAAGGATTGTGAGTATGAAGCACTATATTCTTTGTTCTTTCAGTGTGTTAATTTTCTACTGTTTAAAATGAACACTATTTGCTTATGATTCACATGGTTTTATTGCACAATCAACAGGGTAAAGAAAATATGCTGACTGTAATTTCTATTTTACAGAAAGTGAAAAAATGAATGATTGTAAATTACACAGAAGCTATAGTTGTTTTATTTATTTGAACACATGAATATTGGTACAAAGGGGCGCTGAATAAACATGCGCCATACAAGTCACTTGATTTGTGTAAGGGCTGCGATACTGCCCGGGTGTGCAGACCGAAGCAGGTGGTTTTCTTAGGGTGCCACACTCGGAGTCTTCGACCTAAAAGTTTGATCCTCAAGGCAGTGGAGCAACGTTAGGAGATACAGTCCCATGTTAGCCGGTGATCAATAGTTGGTCCATACGCCATTTGTTCCTTTAGGGTATTGGAACCAATGTGCACCGTTGGTTTGAAATCATGGTTTACCAAATCTCCTAGATGAATTTTCCGTGTCCATTAACCCAAATAAAGCACCGGACATTCGCTTTTCGTCCTCTGAAGTTCTTAAATAACAGTAGTGCCTTGAGAAGGCAGTGAGTAGTACTTTCGTGGCAGTGACTATTTACGCGTAGTTATGTGAGAGCATTTGCAGAAGAAGAACTAACTCTTCCCATCCTTCGGCCGTACCAGGGCATTTGGGGGCTTAAATCAAATTGTTTTTTTTAAATAAATTTTTGTATTACACTATTTGTGAAAATAAATAAATAACACAGGGGATCGTTTTTCTGTGTTTTACACCTTCATGTTTTACGTTTTAAAATTTTTATCACCATATCTACATAATATAATTATCTAGAATTCCCATAATTGGCGTATAAGGTAATCAGAGACTTTATATCTAAAACAATGATTATGTGCTTCATATTGAACAGTTTCGAAATAGATTTGCAAGGATCTAGTGAGATATTATGACATGTATAATATAAATAGATCATAGGTTAAATGTATCAATGACAATGGGTGTGAATCAAATTGTACTATAAATAAACTGTCATTAGAAGTGTACTCACTTAAATTCTAAGTCAATACTTTCAAGATATTGTCTACGTTGTGAGATCTAAAGTTTATAGATATGATAGAACAGGAATTGATTAATGTTTGTTACTAACAGATTTGAGAAATACACTGAAATGCTTAAGAGATTTTGATAGGACCATATTATTATTACAGGGTCTCTTTAGAATCTCGATTGGTATCTTCCTTATTCCTATAATAAAAAACAACAACTTGATTAGTTTATGAGACAGTAACCATAATTCAGGTTTCAAAAATTCTTCAATGAGTTCAATGTATATTTAAATGTGTAATATAGGCACAGATGATAAGAATTAGTCGTTCATTAATGGTCACTTCTGGTACAACAACAAGTGTGACAAAGTATAATTTCCTATTATGATTGATTGTATTAATTTTTCTTTATTCAGGTTTAAAGGTGACAAAGTTCTAAGAAACAATAAGGGAAATTCATTTCTTATTTGTAAATCAAGTTAGAAACTAAGGGTTTGATAATTGTGTAATGAATGAGAACATAGATGGAGACTATCGAATATACTTAAACTTCATTGTCGTTTTTTTTTCGTTTCCACACCAATCATTCTTTGTTCTCGGTTCTCTTTTCTTTAATCTTTTTAAGCTTCTGATGCCAGGTAATTCATTTTCGATTAATGATACATACTACTTATATCTGTCGACAACTATATGGCATACACCATAGTTGGATTTATAGAGTAGTTCATTTTAGAACATGATAATATATTATGCATTCATTAATTATTGATAATGTTTTATATGATTTATTATTAGTCTATGTCTACAGATTATAATCTGACCTTTCTATTATGTTATCATATTTTATGTAACCATGTATATTTAGAAAATACGATGTTCAAATTCGTGATTTTGGTCCAAGTTGGCGTGATGGTATAGCATTCAATGCTATGGTACATAATATTGATTCTAGTCTTGTTGAAATGGATAAAGTAAAGACTAGAACATCAAAAGAAAATTTAGAACATGCATTTACTCAAGCTGAAAAACATTTGGGTATACCAAGACTTTTAGATCCTGAAGGTTAGTGTTTTAATTGATTTGAATGAAAAAGAAATTTAATGAATACAATGAAAGTCATTATAAACAGTAATAATGTAACTCCCTCCATCTTACCTCAATGAACAACTTTAGATCAATTTCATTTATTGTCATAAATATGATTAAGGTAGATAGTAGAGAGAATGCGTATAGAAACTATTTGCATTGCTTTTTACATTCTTTAATTATAACAAAGTTGAAAAAGACCAAGTCATTGTTATCTTATGCTAGATGAATTCATTACAGATGAACTTCATTTGAGATATCAATGAAATCCATGAAGCGCTGGACAGTTGTTTCATCTTAGGATGCGTCACCTAAACAAAGCATATCTATGTCTTCAATAGGAGTAGGACTTATGATATCCTGATATCCTGATAAACATTTTTCTGGTTAGCGTTTTTTTAGCGAGTTAGTTTTCTACGGGATGGGGTTGCTAACCACATGCCCAACCGTCCTCCTTTATCCTGGCTTGGGGCCGGCAGTAGCCCCGGAGGGACTTCAGGCGGAACATTTAAACATTAGATCCATCAAGTAGGGACTCAAATGCGAAATTCCTAATCTAATCAATTTATATAAGCTTATTTTACATACATTTATTGCTTAGCTATCATAAACTTCTCCGGACATTCTGATAAATCTGTATAAAATCAAATTAAATTTTGTATTTCATATACTGAATAACAGTTTCGATTAATTTTAGATGTCGATGTTGATAGACCAGATGAAAAGTCAATTGTAACATATGTTGCTCAATTTTTCAAAGCTTATCCGGATGCAGGAAGGCGAAGACCTGATTCAGTAAGTAATATTTACTTATCAGTGTGGAGTTGTGAAGATTGTTAAGCTTTTAAATGAGATTATGAATCGATGAATGTTAGACTGACATTGAAAACTTGAAAGAACTGGACCTATTATAGGACTCCTTAGAAGTGTGCATCCACGATCCCGCACACAGGATTCGAACCCAAGATCTTTGTTCTCGGACGCGAACACCTAATCGAAGGTTCTGGGTCCAAATGTTATAAAAGCGTGAGAAAAAGTAACTGTACTTTTTATAACAACCTAACTCTCAATTAGCATGAGAAGCTGAAAGAGAACAATGAAGAATAATGAGTAAAATCTAACTAATTAATAAATAAATATCTCAATGTTAATTGTTTTGTGATTATTAACAAGCTATAAAATGAATCAGTTTAAGTGGGTTATTTTTTCCTGAATATATAGTAAGCAAATCAGCTGAATATTCATCTTGAATCAAAGGAACTGAAACAAAAGTTGAGCAGTTTCGTCTTGTATGTGAATCTAGTGTGATTATCGACATTACTTACGCCTGTTACTCCCAGTGGAGCATAGGCCACCAAACAGCATTCTCCAACCCACTCCGTCCTGGGCCTTCCTTTCTTCTCCTATCCAATTGTCGTTCATTCTTCTCATGTCTGTCTTTATTTCTCAGCGTAATGTGTTCTTTGGTCTTGCTCTCCTCCTTTGACCTTAAGGATTCCATGTGAGGGCTTGACTTATGACGCACTCGGCTGCTTTCCTCAATGTGTGTCCTATCCACTTCCTGATGTCTTACTCCATTGGGGTCTGATTTGTTTTCTCCCACAGTGAGTTGTTAATGATAGGGTCTGTCCAACGGATCCGAAGTATTTCGCGTAGACAACTGTTAATAAACACTTGTATCTTCTCGATGATGGCTTTCGTAGTTCTCCAAGTTTCCACCCCATACAGTAGAACTGTCTTAACATTTGTATTGAAAATTGTGACCTTGATGTTGGCTTGTGGACAGTTATTTTGAGTTCCAGATGTTCTTCAGTTGTAGATATGCTGCTCTTGCTATACGATTCGCGTATTCATATCTGCATCAGATCCTCCGTCTTCATCAACGATGCTGGCCAGATATGTAAAGGTTTTTACATGCTTTAAAGCTTCTCCGTCAAGTGTAATTCGATTGTTGCATGCTGTGTTGTATCGGATGATCCCGTTGTATATATGATTATCGACATGTTACTGACTAAATAGGGTATCAAAATAAAACCTTCATTAACAGTAGTATAACCTACAATTTGAAATCGATGTTAATGATGGTTAATAGTACTTCGCCTACTGGATTAAACTGATTAAAGAACTGGATTCTTATGGAAAGCCTCAAATGAAATAAAATCAATTTAGTTTACATAAGTAGTCAAGATAAATCATCTAGTATCGTCATAAGTTTAATTTGATCTTTACTTCATTGTCATATACATACATACAGTGATTAATTCTACGAATATTGTGAATGGTTTTAAGTCAGCAACTCTTGTCTAATAGGTTGATCGGTTATTTGAGTGAATTGACCCAATGAAGTCAAGTTCTCGAACGTCTGTGTACTATTTATTATCTATTAAACTAATAGGCAATTATCCTTATTTATAAAATTGGATAAAGAAAGATTAAGTATTATAACAGAAGAATATGAATTCTCCTCGGCTGATTACAAGATAAAATGACTGTATCAATCAGTAGAGTGTAACGTCATTACATACTTTGTCACAGGAACGTCTAGAATAGACTGAGTTAAAATATGTATGTTTCTGATATGAAGTATGTAAGATTGTTTCGTTTTAATGATTAATAAAACAACTTCAGCTTGTAATCAGCTGAAAAGTATTCACAAGAGAAATTAGTTCTTTCATATATGTGATTGCATCAAATTGTGTGTACAATCAATATATAAACGAGTGTATTTTTGACTATCGTCGTCGTCGTCGTCATGTTTTAAAGTTAATAAATCTTTACTTATGCCAGTTTTGTGAACTTACTTTCAAGTCATGGGAATTGCCGAAATCCTTTGTTTCGAATATAAAAGTGATAAGCGTTTCTGACACAACAACCAGCGACGACCAGATATAAAAAGCAGAATTAAAAGAGCCAAGACAATCAGCAATCAATTGACAAGTTATAACAAACTCATATTATTCTACTATGATGTTTATTCTTTCTTTATTCAAATGAATGAGATTCATAAGATGGTTATTATTAAGAATATAGATTTGATCATAAACTAAAAGCAGTTAATTTATTACTGAAATTTGAGAACATTCGCAAATCATTTAATCTTGGTTTGATAATTCAATATAGTATACATTCTTGACCCATCAGTTAAATGAAGTCTCATATACTATAAGCAGTATGTATACCTCTTATACACATCATTATTTTTGAAGGGGTTTTGTGGATATTTGTAGTAGTTGAGTCAGTTGAAACTAGACCACCACCATGGAAAGCTTGGAAGCGCTGGACGGCCGTTTCATCCTAGTATAGGACTTTTCACTGGTGCGTATCCACAATCCCGCCTCACAAGATTCAAACCTAAGACTTATCAGTACCACACGTTAGCGCTTAACCTCTAGACCACTAGGTCGGCATCCAATTGTGGTAACGTCTAACTTCAAATAATCCACGAAATTGAGCGACACATCCACCATTGTCTTAGATTGTCTGAGATTATTAATTCCAACGGACACAACAGCCGTCTAACTTCATAGTAGTCACGTAGTCTACTGGCGTATGAATTTTAATACAGTTAATAAAACAATGTGACATAACAAGTAATCTGGTGGAAAGTGTTTATATCTTAAGTTATGAATCAAATACAAGCTAAGCAGACACTTATAGTCAGTTACATAATTCGGAGTAAATAACTTAGAATATAACTTGCTTGAATACGACAAATGCGGTTGTTATAACAGTTACTATATTTCAGCCTTTTTCACTCAAGATTTCTGAAGTTCACTATTTCATTGAGGAAATAATTATACATTCTCGTTACTTACTGAATCGCATTTCAGTAGTATGAAATGTCATATCAAAATTGTACTTATTTTCTGAAGAATAGATGAATATTCACACCATTTTTTTTTCTTTATTTTAATACATAATGCTAAAGCCTACCAAGACGGATGTCAAACTAAAACTTGATAATCTGATGAAATTTATTCGAGAATCTGAGTTAAAAATGAAAACAGCTCGATCTGCGCGTACTAGTTTAAATGAACAATATCAGGTAACATTAAATTACTTTTTTTTCCCCTGAAATATCGAAACTATGATGTCTTTATGTAATCTGTAATTCATTTATCATTTTAACATGAAATTTCAAAGGCAATTAATAGTTTATTTTGAGCTATGATATTCAATAACTATAGGGAATGAACAATACCGAGAGTTATCATTTCCATCGTGGAGATTTCTTTGAATAACTGAAGTTAAATTGAATGAGAATATCTTCATTACTGATTAGTTTAGTAAGAAATCTTTATATTATCTTAGATTGGCCAGTTTTTATATACGAATTATGTTTTTGTTATTGCTTGTCTTTAATTATTATGACTATATGTTCCAAATGAAAAATTTTTATTTATTTATTTGAACACATAAATATTGGTACAAGAGGACACCAGACATATATATGTGCTATACAATAACATTCAAAATGGGAAGAGAAAAAGAATGTTGGGTGCTTATGATAGAAAAGGAAAAAAGAAAGAACAATAATGACCACAGATTAGTGTATGGTTATGTAATAATAATAATAATATTAATAATGGGGAAACGGAAAGGTACAACCAGAAACAATTCCTTCACTTAAAGAAGTTACAACTTTTTATGAAGAAAGTAAAAGAAGGTTACAGCAGGATCGCCACTGGCTTCTATTCTGAGCCATATCTGATAACGTCTCTAGCCACTGTGTCGCGCCATCTCTCGAACCCCAACCAGGGAGTCGTGAAGGGCCAACACAAGCCAGTCCTTTGCAGCTTTCTTTCATACCACGATACACTGACCACCTCTTCGTTTTTTCCAACCAGTCCCAGAGTCGGCAAATAATGCATGACATGAAATTCTCTGGGAAGACATTCGTAGAACATGTCCAAGCCACCGAAGTCGATGTTTCAAGATGGTGACACCAATTGAATTATTGTCTCTGTGCCCGAACACACGATGCCGAACCTCTGCATTACTAACATGGTGTTGCCACTGAATGTCAGTAATCCTTCGGAGACAACGATGATCAAATACAGAGAGTCGCCTAACATCCTCAACTCAGAGAGGCCAGGTTTCACAAGCACAGAGCAGAACTGCTCTCATCGATGTGTTGTAGATCCGACGTTTTACAGCCAGACTGACATCATGAAGGCGCCAAAAATGGCCCAGATTGGCATGAGCCGCTCTGGCCTTCACTATACATAAATTGATCTCATCACTCACGTCGCCACCAGCACTTATGCAGCTACCTAGATACACGAAATATAGTTTTATTTGTGCGTATATGAACAAAATTTAATGGAAAAAATTCTTACTTACGTACGCCTGTTACCGCTCGTAAAGGAGAATAGGCAGTCCACCAGCATTCTCCATTCAACCCTGTCTTGAACAATCCTTTCCAGTTCTTCTCAGTTTCTATTCATTCTTTTCATGTTTACTTTCAATTCCCGATATAGTGTTTGTATTCTTCGATCTTCCTTTTTTCCATTTCGCTTGCCTTATGATGCAGTTCGATGATTTTCGTAAGGTATGTTTTATCCATTTTCAACGTTGTTTGCTAATTTCCTGTTAAGAAAAAATACTAATAACAGTCTAATAATCCACCTGTTTGACATGATCCAATATGATATTTGAAAGATTTCTACATTCGAGATGATTTCATCTAGTCAGTGTGTCATTAATTTGATCTGTGTAACTTGACTTGTACTCCAAAAATACTTCATATTATTATTATTATTATTATTATTATTATTATTATTATCATTATTATTATCAGCTTTATTCAATATTATAATTTTGGTAAAATATAGAATTCTCAGCTCAAAGTATTTCAAAAAGTTTCCGTTTCTTTCTTCTTGGTCGGTCCTTGCGATAAATATTGAGTGATCGCCAGTTGGATGTTAGCAGTTCAGTAAATGAACATCTGAATAATGTGCATTCTTTTTCGTTGTATATTGCCAGCAACCACATTCTCTCTTATTGAGTTTTTTGTAACTTTGACAACGAAAGGTTGTGCACTTTTCAGAAACGCAGCAGAATAGGTTATGCGATGAATAGACATAATGATCTATTAGAAAAAACAAAAATAGATAATTTGTTGAAATATCTGGATGGCAGGAACAGGTAGCCAAGATGCTCCAGCAGGCCGCCCTTTAGTATCAACTGCAACTAAACTTTAACACAATCTAGATTTTTATTAAGCTTTGTCTATAAATAAAGATGACTTCATATAATCTACTTAATAATAAGTTAATCGTTCATTTAATTTAGATTGAATAGACCCAGCGAATAGACTATTTTATTAAAATTGAGTAAATTGTACTTATTATATAATGATATTTTGAAATGATACTCAATGATTGTACTGGAATTAAGATATAACGATCAATTGCATCTAGGAAGTTTTTGTTGGGAAAATAAAGGAATGATCATGATCCTTTTAAAAACGAGAACCATAGCCAATATCGATTTATATACAATATGAATATAGCAAGGGCGAGATTATAATTTATGAACGAATCAATCAGGTTGAAGTTGTCACAGGTATTCGGAGTTTGATAACGCTTTAACCAGTAACACCTTCTAATATGAATCGTACCCACCAAGTGAAATCAAAAGACAGAATCGAGGAAGTTAGAAGATATATTTGATAAGCTGACAATATATCGTAGATCGACTGATCTAATCTGGCTAGTGATTGCAAGGGATGTTGAGTACGGTGTCCCCACTCGTGACCTGGTGCGGATGCATGACTGAGCGCCCTCAGCTAGGTGAGTCCATTAAAACTAATATGGTCAGCATCCAATGTCGAAGACTTACAGAGCTATTGATTTTGGAGATTTATTTACCGCTACAAGGTATAAGGTAACATGTCTAGGATTTTGGCACGAAATTCCCTCATCCGTTTGGCTAAATAAAGTCTTAACGTTATAGCTGATGTCATTTCATGATGAAAACCCTAAATCTAATCACCAACCCTAATCATCAACTGTTGATCATCATTCGAATTCCTCACACTAATTTTTAACCCTCATTTGGTCTTAATTATTAGGCGAACATTCTCAAGGTCACTTTAGCGTTGCTCAAAAGTCCATAAATTATAATCTCACCATAGTAAGATCAGTAAATGACACAAAATGATATAAATTTATTCTTATTTCTTGAGTCTTTATTATTTTGTAGATCACCAACGTAGATGATCTATGTCGAAATGATTGGGGACCTACTCGAATTAGACGGTAATGATGTGACAAACTAGCTAACGTCGAAGTCACACCTCGTGGTCAGCACCTTACGTAGACCACTCCATTGACGTATCAAGGTACTATAAATGCTTTGAAGATCGTACAACTCAGAGGACGCTATTACAGAAATATATTAGTTGAAGTAGATACAAGCGAAAGTAAAACCACTGGTGCATGAGCCAGTCCATGGCATACGATTAACTGATGCGCGTTGGTTGTCCCTGACCTTGATGAGGATCGATGATTCGCTCGATATTCAATGACCTAACTACCGAATGATTTGGCTAGGGGTTAATGACATTTCGCTGGCCCTACAATTTGCTTACAATGGTGCTTATTTTTAATTTCACTCTTTTGTTTAGGAAATATTTCTTAATTTTATAATAATAATAATAATAATAATAATAATAATAATAATAATAAGTATACCTTCTTGTATTGATAGGTATATGAGGAATTAATTACAGGGAAAGAGATAGAAGAAGTAAATTATGAATCACTAAAAGATCAATGGTATTCTGGTTTAATATCTCATACTGATTCATTAATTAATCTAAGTGAAATAGAAATTTTAGAAGAATCATGGCATAATTTTATTAATATTATGAATGAATGGTTATGGGAAATCGATGAAAAAATACCTGGTGAATATGGTTATATTGCTAAATGGTTAAGCCAAGCTGAAAAATGGTTTAAACAAGTAGATTTAAAATGGTATCAAAAACCATCTGGTACTGAAGCAATGGGATTTTGTATTACAGTTAATCAATCATGGCGTCCTTCAAGTGCTGAACCTCCATATTCTCCTCCATCAAATGAATTAATAGATAAGTTACAAAATGAAAGATTAGTAAGTGATACAATAAAAAATAATATGAGTAAACATATCACTTGATTAGATTACTTTTTCTTTATACCTACCATACACAGGATTGTAGTTAATTTAAGCCATAACTTATGGATGGAAGCGTTTCAGGAGTAAATCACTTCGCTCTTTCCCATACTGAAAGTGGATCGTACTATTTTTTTTATTGAGATCATGAACCGAATGATGTTAGACCACTACTGAAAACCTGGAAGCACTGAACGGCCGTTTCGTCCTATTTTGGGACTTCTAAGCAGTGCGTATCCACGATCCTGCTCGTGGGATTCAAATCCAGGGCCTTTACTCTCGCGCTCAAACGCTTAACCTACTGAACCACTGAGCTGGAATCCAATGGATTGTATTATATCATGAATTAACTAATGATGAATTATGCTCTTCAATAAATATACAGATTATTAGCTCACCAGTCTATGTTATATGTGAAAACACTAGGGGAATCTAAATGTCTATCAGTATACATTTATTGCTATTATCTTCCCTCAGTAAAGCACTTCAAAAAAATCGCTTCAATTATTTTCTAAAAACCATTAAATATTAATCATTTTTTCCTAGTATTATCATCATACTACTTATTCTCTTGATAAATTTAAACCCATGAAAAATAAGTTAATAATTTATTTCATCAGTCAGTTAAATCTAAACAACCATAAAAAGCCTGGAAGCATTGGACATCCGTTTCGTCCTACTATGGGACTTCTCAGCAGTGAGAATCCACGAGCCCGCCTCTCGGGATTCGAACCCAGGACCAATTGGTCTCGCGCATGAGTGCTTAACGTCCAGACTATTGAGTCGGCATCCAACGGTGTTAATGTCTAACTTCAACCAATCTATAAAATTTGTAAACTTAAGGATATTTTTTTACAATTTGATTATTGATTGACAAGTTATTGATTAATGTATACTTTAACATTTTCTCTAGGAAATTTTAGGAACAAATAACCAAAAGTTGAACTCTATTCGTGATGATTTATCTCGTATTATTGACAATGAAAAAACAACCAATTTGCCTAGTACTTTAATTGATCGACTAAGTACACGTTTATCAAAAGTTACTGGTTATGAACCTGGAAATACTGCAGTTTTAAATGCAGCCAAAGCTCGTAGAACATTTCTTGATATATTATATAATGTTAATCGTACAGAAACTACTACAGGTGTTCGTATACGTAGTCGTCGACGTGAAAGTGCTACAGGTTTTGAATATCGTTTTTGTAATTGGTTGGATCTAGTTGATGGTAATATACATACTGAAACTAGAGAGATTGTAAATGGAATTCTTACCGATTATCAGGTAATCATTATTGTTTAATGTAAAAAAAAACATTTTATACTGTTAGATATTGAGAGTTAACAAATATTTAATAGATATAATTTGAGATTTCTCAGAATTCCTTGATATATCAATGGAATACATCTTGAACCATTTGATTCCACATTAATTTGTTAGGAAATTGAAAACAATAAAGATAAAACATTGTTCGCATCATCGTTGATACAAAAAAGTAAAATGAATTTATATCAGAAAGGGTTTTTTGTAGATATTATAGTAATTTTAATAGTTGAGATCATGGATGGAAAATCTGAAAGCACTGGATGACCGTGGGACTCCTTAATAGTAAGCATCCATGATCCCACCTCACGAGATTGGAACCAAGGACTTATCAGTCTCGCGCGCGAGCTTCAATTGACTCATCATTTCAGTAATTAAAATTACTTTAGTATATTCACAAAACCCTATTCTGATATAAGAATGTGTCAGCTTTATTATGACTACATTTTTTTTTAAATAACCCATGTATTCGATCATAATGACTTGTATGCAACATTGGAAAAACTGTTTTTAAAATTAATCTTATGACTAGTTTCTATGAGATCTGATGAAAGTGGATGATAACTGATTGTCATCTGTTGTTAATTTAAAATAGCTTATTTATTTTTGTTACCAACTAGGTAAACAGTATATCATTCATCACATGTATATAATATAAGCTGTCTATATAGTGTACAATACAATTATTTGCATATCATTCAGGTTTATTTTCTAAAGTATAATAACTTTGATCTCAAAGTATCTGTGATCGACAATATGATCTTGATTTTTGCTTCAGTAAAAAGAGGTTTATTCAGTTCGACAGTTTTTTTCTTCTATAGAACATCTAATAAATTAACTACAGTCATTTTATGCTAATGACTAAATTATTATGGTTGTAACTTTCTTTACTGAAATCTCTGAATGTAATGTCACAATGATTTATTATATCTTTTTTTATTATGCCATCATGAATGTTGCAATAAAGACATAACCTAATCTATTTATTATCTAAATGGTAGACTAATAAAGTATATAGATTTAAAAAATAAAGCTGGTGGACTCTAGGAAATACCTTAAATAGAGTTTATTCATTGATTTTTTCTTCTACGTCATTTCTGCAAAATCGTGCATGGAGGACAGCTCACCGACTTGTTGGATGTAAAGACCAGTATCATGCAAGTCTGCTTACTCTCACCCTTTCTCTTCCTGTTGGTGATTGACTGAATCATGAAGATATCAACATCTGAGGAGAAGCATGAAATAAAATGGACAGTTAGAATGCAGCTAGACGATCTAGACTTCGCAGATGATCTGGCTCTTCTATCGCACATGCAAAAACAAATGCAGGAGAAGATGACAACATCCTCATCTGCAGTAGATTTTAATACACACAAAGGGAAAAGCAAGATCCTCCGATACAACACAGCATGCAACAATTGAATCACAATTGACGGAGAAGATTTGGAAGATGTAAAATCATTTACACATCTAAGCAGCATAATTGATGAACACGGTGGATCTGATGGAGATGTGAAGCAAGAGCAGCATATTTCGAATTGAAGAACATCTGGAATTCAAAACAACTGTCAATCAACATAAATGTCAGAATTCTAAATACAAATGTGAAGACAGTTCTACTGTTTACTGGGGTGGAAACCTGGAGAACTACGAAAGCTATCATCGAGAAGATACAAGTGTTTATTAACAGTTGTCTATGTAAAATACTTTGGATCGGTTGACCAAACCCCATCAGCAACAATCTACTGTGAGAGAGAACAAACGAGATTCAAGCAAGGAAGCAAGAAAGAAGAAATCAAGAAGATTCGCTGGAAGCGGATAGGACACTCATTGAGAAAAACATCCAACTGCGTCACAGGTCAAGCTCTCACATGTAATCTTTAATGCCAACTGAGGAGAGGAAGAACAAAATAACACATTACTTTGAGAAATGTAAACGGACATGAGAAGAATGAACAACAACTGGATAGAACTACAAAGGAAGAAGTAGGTTAGAGAAACTTAGTCGGCGGCCTATATCCCATTATAACTAACAGGAATAAGTAAGTAGATAAGTAGTTTGTTCAAATAAATTTTGATAAAAACTATTAGCATAACGTGTTATGATCCTAATAGTTCAACTATCACATATCATTTCTAAGAAACTAATTCTCATGAAATTAAATTGTATCCCCTATACCTTCAATTAGCCTTCTTTTCTTTCTTTGTCTTTAAAAAAACAGCTTTGTTTAAAAACGGAACATATTCCAGAGAAATTAGATCAATGTAAATTGGATTTATGTAAACATTTTAATTTATTAACTAAAATTATTCAATATGATGATCAACTTATACCAAAAAATTCTTTGGATATTATTCAACGATGGCAAGATGATTGTGAAATGAAATGGAATTCAGATAAATTAAATCAATTAATACAATTAGGTGAACGTATTAAACAACGTTTAACATTATGGGATAAATTAGATCATCGTGTTAGAAATATAGAAGTAAGTTTATATACCATTGTTTAAGTATAAAGGTCTATAGATTCATTGTCAGGAACAAGCGTTAGTAAGTTGTTTAAGTAATCTTTGAGAAATTCTTAACATGGATTCAATACATTTTTATGAACAAACTAATCAGATTTAAGATAGCAGGTTTTAGATGTTGGCACGAGACTCATCCACTCATTTGATTTGAATACCATTTCAACATTTTATAGCTGATGTCAGTTTGTGATGATAATATGAAATATAATTTCTAACTCTAATGTTCAACTGTTAATCTAGATCCTAGTTCCTTGAACTAATTGATAAATCTCATTTAATCTTAGTAAGTAGATATACATTTTCAAGGTCATTTTAGCGTTGCTCAATGGTTGTTCATAAATTATCGTCTCATCATTTTTATTCCTTATAAAAATGCCCTGGTACAGCCAACAGTGGGGAGAGTCCGCTCTCCCTCTCGAAATGCTCTCACATGGCCACGCATATATAGCCTCTTCCAGGGAAGGACTACTCACTGCCTTCTTGTGGCGGGAGTGTTGTTTACGAAAATGAGAGGACGAAAAGCGAATGTACGGCACTTTAACCGGATTTCGAACCAATGATGCACATGGGCTCCAATGTCCTGCGGGAAAAAATGGCGTATGAACAAATTGTCGGTCACCGGTTTCTGTGGGGCTGCATCTCCTTACGATGCTCCACTACCTTATGGATCAGATCTTCATGTGTATTAAAAATGTGTTAAAAATAAATATAAAAAGAGTCAAATATTTCGCTGTACAATCTGTTGATACAAACTTAATGTCATCATTAAATTAGGTGTGGTTACATTTTATATGACAATGGAGTGTTTGAAAGTTAAGGGTTGTAAATATCAAGTTACTACCTCGCTACATAAATAGAACTAAATTTTTTTTAAAGTGAAATAGTTACCATCCTGATAGTTTTTTTAGTAAGATTGGATCATAAACCCTGTTTTCCATGCTCATTTATCTTTAACTAGATTAAACCATCTAATGAATATGTGATGACGACTAATCAACCTGAGTTATGGACTATTACTATTATTATAACATATATATATGCACTTGTGGTGTCGGTTACTATGTTAAGCCCATATAACTTATTCTAGCTTCTGTACAGGTCAATTTATCCATTCTTCTTGAATCACGTTTTCACCTTGTTGATTATTCACTTATCAACCCTGATTGTTTTTGAATGAACATATGCGTGTGAATATCTTATCCTATTCATCACATGTCAGTAACCTATTTTTATCTGGCGCTTGATTAGATGGAATTAGTTCACATGCCTTCTCCATTGCGTGTCGTTTCCTTTCTCTTCCTTTGCTACGTCCCTTCAATTGTCTGTACAGATCAATGAGTGTACAAATAATATATATTCAAATATTCATTCTCGTATTTGACTTATTTAATTCCATTATTCCTCAGCTCGATTTAAGTCGATGATTATATACAAGAATTGATGATATGTATATTTCGATAGTGATCAACATACGATATTACTGGAGTTAGATATCAGATCACTAAACACTAAATATTTGATTGTTGATTATTTCTTATCTTTCTTTTTTATAATTCGGGAGACTTTTACTAATATTACGAAACAGGGTATACAACACTGATTAATATTTTGTCAATCATCTCATTCATAGTGTAATAAGTCTACCATAAATTCTTACCAATTCCTTTCATTTTAAAGCGAAACAACTAACAGATATAACGAACGTTGATAATCCCATAATTACTTAATCCACACGTTGTATACAGCTAACTATCAGATAAATATCTATGAATTCCCTTTCTATATGTATGTTTTTTTTTCTATCAGAATTGGTTGTCACAATTTGAAGATTCGAAATTTTCTGAAAATGATTGGTTCAGTCGACGAGATGAAATATTTGTGTTATTAGATGAAGCTAATGAAGCTGCTCATTATCTTGGTGAATCAGCTGATCATCATAGATTGGAAATGTTTCGTAAAAGGATTGAGAAAGTAGAATCCGATGTGAGCAAATAAGTTGAGATTATAATTTTTTATATTTATTAACAATTATTACTATCAGTATAGGGAATTTATGGAGATTGTAGAACTTCTACAGTTTAATGTACGAACTAATCTTAGTTAGACCATCAATGAAAACGTGAAAGAACTAGAAGGTCATTTCTTCCTTGTATGGAACTTCTCATCAGTACGCATCCACGACACTGCACATAGGAATTGAGATCAGAATTTTCAGTCTCACCTGTAAATATTTGATTTCTATACCACTGGGCCGTGATACAATGATGCACATGTATAAATTCAGTCAATTCATACTATTGCACAACCCTCATCTATTGCCTGGAGTGGACAAATGTTTCATAACAGTGACCGATGTAGTTCCATTTGTGTCACGTGTAATACTTTTATCTTCTGCAAACAATAGATAATGCTTGTGCAATATCGTGAAGCTAGGTATGTGCATCATTGGCTCCCAGCCCGGTGGTGTAGAAATCAAGTATTTACAGGTGAGACTGAAAATTCTGATCTCGATTCACATGTGCAGTGTCGTGAATGTGTACTAATGAGGAGTTTCTTACAAGGACACACACAAGAAATAAAGTGTGAATTGATTTAGTACTAATTACTGGTAGTGTGTGATTCAGTTGTATATATATGGTTTTCTTGCAACATATTTTATTATTTCTGTGATGCTTGAATGATTTCTGTATTCTTTCAGAAGCACATCAATGTATGTTATTATTTAATAATCCTTACTACTGCATCATCAAATAAAATCAGCTAGAGAATCATTATACACCATGGAGAACTGGACAAATGTATGAACAGTGTTTACCTAATACTAAACAACTGATCAATTACCAGACCTAAATATCATTTACAAAGTATAAGATCATTTAGTCAACAAGTATAAATCTAACGAATTACATTTTAGGTCTCCTCATTCATTTTCATTACTGAATCATCAACAATCCGAAGATATTGGTGGATATCATAACACTAATGAGTAAATAGATCACTGGGAGTTTTAAGCTCAAACACTGATAATTATTTTATTTTAACATATAGATATTGGTAGAAGGGGGCACCAGATACATATGCGCCACACAAGTCTCATTTGATATGTATGAGGGCTGTGATACTGCCCGGGAGCCCAAACCGAACCAGGTGGTTTTCTTACAAAGCCACATTCGGAGCCTTCGACCTGAAGGTCTGACCCACAAGGCAATGGAGCATCGTGAGGAGATGCAGTCCCATGGTAGCCGGTGACCAACGATTGGTTCATACGCCATTCGTTCCTTCAGGATACTGGAGTCCATGTGCACCATTGGTTCATTATTAATCATCATCATCATCATCATCATCATCATCATCATCATCATCATCATCATCATCATCATCATCATCATCATCATCATCATCATCATCATCATCATCATCATCATCATCATCATCATCATCATCATCATCATCATCATCATCATCATCATCATCATCATCATCATCATCATCATCATCATCATCATCATCATCATCATCATCATCATCATCATCATCATCATCATCATCATCATCATCATCATCATCATCATCATCATCATCATCATCATCATCATCATCATCATCATCATCATCATCATCATCATCATCATCATCATCATCATCATCATCATCATCATCATCATCATCATCATCATCATCATCATCATCATCATCATCATCATCATCATCATCATCATCATCATCATCATCATCATCATCATCATCATCATCATCATCATCATCATCATCATCATCATCATCATCATCATCATCATCATCATCATCATCATCATCATCATCATCATCATCATCATCATCATCATCATCATCATCATCATCATCATCATCATCATCATCATCATCATCATCATCATCATCATCATCATCATCATCATCATCATCATCATCATCATCATCATCATCATCATCATCATCATCATCATCATCATCATCATCATCATCATCATCATCATCATCATCATCATCATCATCATCATCATCATCATCATCATCATCATCATCATCATCATCATCATCATCATCATCATCATCATCATCATCATCATCATCATCATCATCATCATCATCATCATCATCATCATCATCATCATCATCATCATCATCATCATCATCATCATCATCATCATCATCATCATCATCATCATCATCATCATCATCATCATCATCATCATCATCATCATCATCATCATCATCATCATCATCATCATCATCATCATCATCATCATCATCATCATCATCATCATCATCATCATCATCATCATCATCATCATCATCATACTTATAAATCTAATGTACTTCTCTTTTTTCTTTTTTTTTCTTTTAAAATTAGATTTCAAAAAGAAGACAAGCTAATTTAGAAAAAGTGGAAGCAAAACGATTAGCGGATAAATTAAAACTTGAAAATGAATTAAATAATCATTTAGATCAAATAGAAAATTGGATCAATTCAATAAAAGATTTAATTGAAAATAAAACGAATGGTACATTGAAACATTCACAAGTACGTTGTACATCGAATGGATTATCGATTATTGTTGGACAATTACAAAATATTTTAGATGAACAATCAAAAGTAAGTAATATATTAAAGACTCACGATGTTAACCATTGAAATTACTATAATATCCACAAAACCCCTTCTGATATTCATCAACATATGTTTACTAGTGACTGGCTTCACGAGGTATATCCTGGAGATCTAGTGAGAAGTAGTGACTAGTGGAGATCAACCAGGTCTGTTGTGAGATAGTAACTCACTGAAGACAATGGTGGATGTGTCGCTCGATTTCGTGGATTAGTTGAAGTTAGACAACAGCACCGTTGGATGACAGCCAGCTCTGTGGTCTAGTGGTTAAGTGCTCGGGCGCGAAACCAGTAGGCCCTGGGTTCGAATCTCGCATGGAGTGAGGTCGTGGATGCGCACAGCTGGAGAGTCCCACAATAGGACGAAACGGCCACCCAGTGCTTCCAGTTTTCCCATGATGGTCTAGCTTTAACTGACTCATGATGTCAATCATTGAAATTACTATAATATCCACAAAACTCATCTGATATTGAGGCACAATAGTTAAGTATCTAAATGATATTTATGTAAGTGAACAGGAACATGAATGGGAACACTTGAATGTATTTGAGCACAATAATAACAGAACATCTCATTAAAATCAGAGAATTATATAGTAAAAAATTCATTTGGTTTTGTTTTACTTGAATCTTCCCATTGATATTTAGAACTGAAATTGATCAGTCTCTTATTGGCATATGTGCATACTGTGCGTATTGTCTCGATATTACCTTAATTTAACAAGCATTACAAGCAAAGATGGACAGTGGCTAGCAGTGGAATCTAGGACGCACGTTTCGTCCTATTTGGGACTCGTCAACTGGATCTACCTGAACCTCCGAATTGATGTGTCACTCTTGGACTCGAACCCAGTACCGTTCCTCTCAAACGCCATCACGTTATCCACTTAGCTAAGGCAGTATCGAGGCCATACGCACAGTATGCACACATGTTAATAAGAGATTGATCAATTTCAGTCCTAAACATCAATGGAAAGATTCAATTAAACTTCACCCCATCGCACAAGCAAGTGGATGTTCTGACTCAGTAGCTGGATGGATAACGCGATGGCTTTTGAAGCGAATGGTACTGGATTTGAGTCTCAGAGTGGACATCAACTCTGAGATGCAGGTGCATGCAGATGATGAGTCTCAAATAGGACGAGACACGTTACCTGGATTCCACTGTTAGCCACCATCCATCTATCCTAATAATAATAATAATAGCCCTATTGATTACCATTAATGTTGTTACATTAAAGAATCCCCACCATCATCTGTGTATCATTCCAACAAGTTCCTGTTTAACAATGATTGAAATTGTTGTTATTCTATAATAATATTCTGTTTTTACAATAGTCAATATCTGCCATTAATCTTCAGCGGAGAAAAAGTTTTATCAGTTGAGTTCCTACAACTATTTTTTTCAAGCCATTAGTATGAGTTACAACATATTTCCCTCTCGTTATTTCAATTCAAAGTAGGAACAGAGAGCAGTATCTCGATCTTAGTAGTTAGCATCGCGATAGTTTATACGTCTTTCATAAAGTTCACACAGTTAAAATTCATGATTGTTCAGTTCACACAAATCTAAGTCAGGATGGCTTAAAGTATTATTTTCATGGTTTGTAAATCAGTAGCATAAATGTTTGAACAGGCCTTTATGTTATTGAAGGAGCTGGTTCACTCCATGGGATTCAAACCAATATCACTCTGTTTCGTACTGACAGGCGTTACTACTCAAATTTTTAGACCACGGCTTATTTCCTGTAGTAGTCGGACATTTATAGCAACCCATTACTTAGTGGTTACTGATTTTTTATAATTCTAAGGAAACTAAAATAAGACAAATAGTCCGTTTAACAAATACACTACTCACTATCAAATTTTCGGTGAAAAAGTAATAAAGTTTATTAAGAAAGTCATCAACTACAGGACGGTGCTTATGAATATGATGTGTTTAGAAAAACACTTCTTTAGAAGTGAATCACCAATTAAGTAATGACCGTGATTAGTTCAAAATGAATGCATGGACAGGAAGTCAGTCCACCTCTTATTTTGATTATGCTATTCATCACCGGCTCACCACACGGATACTTTCCTTCTTACTTACGACTGTTATCCCTTGTGGATCAACATAGACCGACCACCGGCATTCTCCATCCAACTCTGTCCTTGATAATCTTTTTCAGTTGTTTACAATCACTATTCATTCTTTTCATGTCTGCTTCCATTTCTTGTTACCGTGTGTTCTTTGGTCTTCCTCTTTTCTATTTCCTTTCACAATTCCATATTAGTGATTGCTTCATGATATAGTTTGATGATTTCCACAGTCTATATTCTGTCCACCTCGAGAGTCTTTTCCTAACTTCCTCTTCAACTCTCTCTCCCGCAGTAAGCACTATACAGATGGTTCATGAGAAATTGAATTTAAAAAAGACATCTACGTACAAACGTTTAAGACTGGTGGCATTAAAAAAATAAAAAAAAAACTTAAAATGACCAAATAGAGGATGTTTAAAACAATAAAAACAGAATAATCATTATATTGTCATATATGAGGGATGTTTTGAAGGGAACAAGATTAATATATCCCAAACTGTGTAAAATAAATTACTAATGACATAAACTAGTGTATTTATTGACTTACTTACTTACTTACGCCTGTTACTCCCAGTGGAGTATAGGCCGCCGGCCAACATTCTCCAACCCACTCTGTCCTACACCTTCCTTTCTATTTCTATTCGATTGTTGTTCATTCTTATCATGTCTGTCTTCATTTCTCAGCGTAATATGCTCTTTGGTCTTCCTCTCCTCCTTTGACCTTAAGAATTTCATGTGAGAACTTAACTTATGACACAGTTCGGTGCTTTCCTCAGTATGTATCCTATCCATTTATTTATTTATTTTATTTTATTTTACTGAAAAGACTATATATTTCAACATTTCTGTTGTGTCTTTATGGACCGCTTGTTGTCACGTGATCTAGTCGACAATCAAAATATGACGTTTTTGTTCTTGTACTGTGCTAAGCCAATTACGTCCGTTTGGTTTGATCAGCCTAGCGTCCTATTGGTCCCCTGTTCGCCTAGCCAGTCCAAATGAGTCCATAATGCCAACAACAGCCTTCACTATGCGAATCATTTATTTTAGACATACTGGGTTTATATATCAACCAAACAGACTGCAACACACCATAAAATAGGAAATAACATTCGTACACAATAAAGCCAAAAAGTGACTGTGAACATGAGAGACAGTAATCAATAAGCTGAGTACAACTTATGAACAGTAAATCGTACAATAATAATCTATAGGTCAAAATAAAGCTTATAATAAGATGAATATAAATATACATAATCTAATTACTGAATAGTTGTGCCATAAGAATATATATAGATAATATTAGTCCATTAATAGGTCTCAGACGTTACACGTAATGTAATCTTCACTAGGATATAACAATTTCCTATTTTCAATTTCTATAATCGCATAAATTTCATTCTTTTTCTTTTTTCCCCTACATCCCTCTCTCTCCCTCCCCATCAATCAATCAATCAATCAATCGATCGATCGATCAATCAATCAATCAATCAATTAAAATTCTATTCAAGATTACAGAACATTTACAAAATGCTACTAATCTAAGTCAAGATCCAATAATTCAACCAATACAATTAGAACAAAATGAACGTTTATTATATTTAGAAGAATCAATGGAAAAATTTATTCATTTATTACCAATAAAATTAAAAGATTTAACGGATATAACCGAGAAAACTTCTGAAATTGAAAATAATTTAAATCATATTCAATTACAATTAAATGAATTAGAACAGAAACAAAAGAATCTTTTCTTGGAAACTGATATTCATACATGGGAATGTTCATCATTATATCTTGAAGTAAGTTTTGAAAGAATAAACTATTTCAGAGGATAGAGAAGATTTATAGCTTAATGTTAACTGAATTGAACTACTTATTGGTCACCGGTGTTGGGGACGTTAAATCCCCAGAACTCATCTAGGAAAGGATCGAATTTTGTAATTTTATTTAGAAAATTTGAATTTCTTTGTTTTCGCACCCTTGTCACCTTCATGTCGTATTTCCCACTGGGAAATGTCTTAAATGCTGTTGGTCCATTGCGTCTTTTAGTATGTTATTTGGTAACTCTCCCCAAGGTTGGTTTTTTACTGTATATATATACGTTTTGAATTGTGTTTGTTGTTATCTCTCGTTTCTGGCTGATTCACGATTTCAACCAGTGAAGTTTATCTCTTTTACCAAAGTTTGGTGATTAAATGATATATCGGTGAAGTAATTTTACCAATATAAATGTGTTTTAGAAGATTATGATGGGTAATTTTCTTACTTTCCAGTTGATTACTCTGGTTTACAATGAAATAAGATTATTATTATTACTATTATTATTATTATTATTAACTTCATATAGTTCAATGACTGTCGTGGACATTTAACATTTACTAATGGACAAGTCAATGATTTAGAACGTGCACTTAATTTACAAGATAATCGTGGTATGTCCATTTTAAACAAATTTAGCGTTGAAGAATTATATAATGAAATAAAAGATTTCAATGATCGTCTTAATGTAAGTAATGGTTTTAAGTTAATGATATTGTATCATCTTATTATGAGGGTTCTTTTAAAAGTTATTAAGATTAAAATATATTGTTCTTTTGATTAGTTATGAAGAAGTATTTCGTCTTTAGAAGTGCACATCTTCTACTACTTCATCGATTCAAATCTAGTTATGATGACTAAACCTTCAGACAATTGAACTCATATTTAGTTGTTTGTATTTCTACTTTCGACGATTTAGCGCTTTTACATAACCGTCATCCAATATCACTGGTGGTTACAATTATCTCACTGTGGTCATGATTGAACCCCACTAGTCAAGATATTTCACTAGAATTCTGAAAATTATCTTTATCTACTGGTAAGGGGATGTTGACTGCTATCACTGAATGTTGTAGAGATTGATGAATTGAAATATTGCATGACAGATTGACTGGTTATATG